GGCTGAAGGGGCACGACAACCCAACAGATATCAGCACAGTCTTGTCTTGCGTTTGAATATTTAATTCAACGACGTTAACAAGTTAATCATAAATTATTATTTTTATCAAACTACGATGAATGGATTATAATTTAATCTCATTCAGGGCTACCACGATCAAGTGCCCAAATTCCAAACTCATTCATGAAGGTGCTACAAATTTATCCACCTTATCCTCTTAAGTGTAACAATAATTTACAAGCTCTTATTCTATTCTATTATATTAATTGATTTCGAGTGTTCTTCTAGTATATCCACCAGAAAATGTGGAAGAAGAAAAAAGGCACTTATTGTCAATTAATATATGATGTCAATCACCGGCCATGACATCCTCACCAATACCTTGATTGAATAAACTTATATGACAAATAATTCACTGCTACGTAATTGCAAACTAATTAATCATTTTTATAACTAAAGTGTTTTGATAAAAAAATAAAAAATAAAAACTCGTGCGTCTTGATTTTGGACTATATAAGAAGTAATCACAGTTCCTTATCTAACCGGTGACCAATAGATTCAGTCTTCTAGCTCATAGAAGGTGTGAAATACAATAACTCGGAGAGTGAGAAACATGGGATCTCTTCCAAAGAGCACCAAGGCTCATGCCGTGTGCCTCCCATATCCAGCTCAAGGTCACATAACTCCTATGCTCAAAGTAGCAAAACTACTCCATCACAAAGGCTTTCACATCACCTTTGTCAACTCTGAATACAATCACAGACGTTTGCTCAAGTCCAGAGGCCGTAACTCCCTTGATGTCTTGCCTGATTTCCAGTTTGAAACCATTCCAGATGGTCTAGGTGATCAGCTTGATGCTGATGTTACCCAAGACACTTCATTTCTCTGTGACTCTACCTCAAAGGCTTGCTTAGACCCGTTTCGCCAACTTCTTGCCAAACTCAATTCATCAAATGTTGTCCCGCCTGTAACTTGCATAGTAGCAGATGGTGGCATGTCCTTCGCTCTCGACGTTAAGGACGAACTTCAAATCCCTGTCGTCATTTTCTGGACTTCAAGTGCATGTGGCACATTGGCCTATGCACATTACAAACATCTTGTTGAAAGAGGTTACATACCACTCAAAGGTACGTACTTGATAAATTTATTACTACTTTCATACTATCATGAATCTTTTCGAAGTAAATTGTTTATGTAACGTGTTTTTATCTTTGATATCAATTATGCAGAAGAAAGCGATCTGACAAATGGATATTTGGAGACAAAAATAGATTGGATTCCGGGAATGAAAGATATTCGTCTGAAGGACTTTCCAACCTTCATTCGTACAACAGATCGAAACGACGTTATGCTAAACTTTGTGATAAGAATAATTGATAGAGCTTCAAAAGCTTCAGCTGCAATTTTGAATACTTTTGATGACTTAGATCATGATGTTCTGGTTGCTCTCTCATCTATGTTTCCTCCAATTTATCCTGTTGGTCCTCTTAATTTGCTTCTTGAACAAACACAGAATGATTATCTAGCATCAATTGGATCCAGTCTGTGGAAAGAAGAGACTGAATGCCTGCACTGGCTCGACTCCAAGGATCCCAATTCTGTTGTCTACGTGAATTTTGGAAGCATAACTGTGATGAATCCACAGCAACTTGTGGAGTTTTCTTGGGGACTAGCTAACAGCATGAAGAATTTTTTATGGATAATCAGGCCTGATCTTGTCAGGGGCGACTCAGCGGTTTTGCCTCCAGAGTTTCTTGAAGAGACTAGAGAAAGAGGCCTGACGGCGAGCTGGTGTGCGCAGGAAAAAGTCCTGAAGCATTCATCGATAGGAGGGTTTTTAAGTCACATGGGGTGGAATTCCACCATTGAAAGCTTGTCCAACGGCGTGCCAATGCTATGCTGGCCTTTTTTCTCTGAACAACAAACTAACTGCAAGTTTGCTTGCACTGATTGGGATGTTGGCATGGAAATTGAAAGTGATGCAAATAGAGATGAAGTAGAGAAGCTTGTAATAGAGTTAATGGATGGGGAGAAAGGTAAGGAAATGAAAAGGAAGGCAATGGAATGGAAGTCAAAGGCTGAGGCGACAACTGGTATTAATGGTTCATCATCCATGAATCTTGACAAACTTGTCAACGACTTGCTCCGGTTCCAAAAACCTTGAATTAGCGTCTTTGATGAAATTGTTGTCACATCGGGTTGCCTACCTTTAGCTTTTTTAGATTGCCTACCTTCAGCTTTTTTATTGATCATCATTCTGTTACAAGCTCCACTTTTCCATTCAGCCAATTGAATGGCTTGCTAATCTCTGTGAACCTGCCAGCCATCTAAGTCAACAATGATGAAAGAAAGTGAAGCTATCCTTTATATCTTAGACAATAATTAATAATTATAGGCATTAATTTCGTGTCACTTGTCATACCAATTAATACTATTTACACTTGCAATTTTTTTTTGTAAAAGTATGGGTGTTTGTCGATAACTAGATACTATATCCAAGCTTTAAATTACCATAAAGGAGAAGATGAGAATAAAAAAAATATTTTTATAAAATTATGAGTTATTTATAAAAAATATATAAGATGTTTTTTCTTAATAATAAAAAAATTTTAGCCATTTTTATTAATAGAGAAAAATTATAATTTTTATATTACTTAATAAATTTTTTTTATATTTGGGCATAAATATAGTTAAATTAGGTGAATAATGTAAATTTGTATATATTTCATTTTTTATTTTATTTTATCATTTATTTTTTATTTTATTGAATTTGCATGTTAGTATTTTAATAGTGGTGTTAAAACCTTCTTATTAGTATTGTTAACACATAAAAATTATTTATGTATATTGTTACTATTTATGTACATGGTAATATTTACCTATATGTCACTATTCATTTACCTCTATATATATATATATATATATATATATATATATATATATGCGCGCAAGTCTAAGTATAATTTTCTATTGTCAGGGTTTGCACAAGGTTTGTTCCATCTTTACACTATACATTACAGGCACTTGAATGAGTGGGCCACCCTAGATTCCTCTGAGAACTACATGAGACAATATGGGAAAGAGTCATTTCCGTACCCGGGAGTGATAGTGGAACTCGAATTTATGGCCTATCTTTGTCCAAATGCATCTCGGTGACCAATCATCACTAACGGGTAAGGCATATCTCATAATCAATCTCTATTTCACAAGAATTGCAACCCCAATGGTGGAGGTTTTTATGTGGCTGATGGTTTTTCAAAAGAAGAACTTCTAGGATTTCTTATAGAGGAAAGGCGTGATCGATGCAACAACAAAGTTTAGCATAGAATTTTGCACATAAGGAGTTATAGCATGATTTTGAATCTGTATTTCTTTGTTATTCTTAATGGTTTCTGGGTCATCAGTCTTGCTTGTCATTAGTTGGTTGTCTTTCTTTTTGGATCTTATATATTTGTTTTGATTTTGAAACATGAAAATAAATTAAAATGAAATATTAAAGGATGAAATTGAAAATAATTTAATTAATTAAAGAATTAAAAATAAAATAGAAATAGAAATGAGAAATGAAATCAAAGAAAAAATTAATAAAAAAAACAAAATAAATGACAATCATAAAACAAAATAGAACATAATTTGATACAAAGAATAAATGGCCTGACACGCCATGCTTCCGCAGCTTCTTTTTTTTTTTATGAATACTTTATATTTATCAAAAGATTAAGTTGCTTCTAACTCAACATAAGTATATAAAAAAGACCAAAGAAATATATTAAAAAAATATCTTAAAAAAATATTTTTTAATTTACATGACAGTTAAATAATTCTATTAGGCTTAAAAAATAAAATTATCTACAAGGCTCCTAGTGCAAGTTAAAATTTTTTTTTGAAGTATCAAATATAATATCAGGACGACTGTTCCAAATTTGTTAGACACTCCCATCTAGTGGGACCATTTCTTTGTATTAAACACTTATTTTATATATGCAGAGGTGAGCACTGCCATCAGCTGCGATGGGAATATAATATCAAGAACTTCCAGAAATTTTGCTTGATTAGTCTAACAAGCAATCCATGTCTGGATCCATAAAACAGCGACTAAGTGTAGAGTACAATTTGGTCACGGATTCTTTTGAAATTATGGCTAGTACAAGCAGCGACAAAACGTGGATTGAATAATTGCTTCTCCATGGTAGAATGATAAACAATCAATAGAATTTTCTACGTGTAAAGAAAATTCTGAATATCAATGTAAGAAAATGTCAAAAGTAAAGAGCAGAAAGTAAGTACATGTTGACTATCAATGTAAGAAAATGTCAAAACGTAAAGAACGTCGAATATCAATGTAAGAAACCGTCAAGACCTAGAGCAGAAACTTCACGTTAGCGACAAGCTGACAAAACTAGTCAGTTGTTGTTAGTGAATAGTGATGACAACATGTTAGTGACAGGCTGTTCCAAGTAATGCGGTGAGATTACTTTGTCGTTTAGGAGCTCGTGAATGCCTGTAGTTGCGCCACAATTCATCAAAAATGACCATGGTTTTCATCTGAAAATGTTATGGTATTTAAGTAATAACTATTAATACTTAAAATATTTAAAAATATATACATATAAGAAGAAGAGAGAAATTCAAGAGAAAAAATTATATGTTAATTATCCCAAAAAAAAATGATAAGAATTCTTTTTTCATATTTATCTCTTCTTCTTATGTATCTATTTTAATACTATATAGTATTATTATAGCAAAGTACTATATACTATATAGAAAAGTTTCTCGTTGGCATTAATGTTCCAATCAACGCGTGAAAGGTCATCCACAGCTTATGGACATACATTTTACAAATTTATATACCATCCACTTCACGTTGTCATCTTCATTCATTGACAACTGTTATAAGCCAATCTTTTCCCTAAACTTTTGAGTATCACACAAGTTTTCTTGCTGAGATCTTAGCCAAAATTATGTTGAGTGTAATAGAAGCAAATTAAATTAAGAAAATGTAGCAAATAATAGAGAAATTTATTATATCAAGATATTTTTTTTAAGATTATATTTCTCTGCCAGAAATAATACAGTAGGTTACTCAATGCTTGAAGTTATTTGCCATCAGGCTTCTAATTAACTTATTTGCTCGCTTGCAAGAACTTTTACCAATCGATCCAGATTCCGATAAGAAGCATCACCGGTCCAAGCTGCCTCTTCTGCCTTGGTTTTCCATTCCATTGCCTTCCTTTTCATATCTTTTCCCTTCTCTCCCTCCATTAACTCCCTCACAAGTTTTTCCACTTCATCTCTTTTCACGTTGTTTTCAATCTCCATTCCGATACCCCACTTGGTGCAAGCAAACCAACAGTTGGTCTGTTGCTCACCGAAAAACGGCCAACAAACCATTGGGACACCGCCACAGATACTTTCCAATGTCGAGTTCCACCCCATGTGACTTAAAAACCCTCCTATGGAAGGATGCTTCAAGATTTGTTCTTGAGGACACCAGCTTACGAGCAAACTTCTATCCTTTGTTGCAGATAAAAATTCAGGTGGCAACATCGCGGCTTCACCTCCAATAAGATCAGGCCTTATTATCCATAAGAAAGGTTTGTTGCTGTTGGCTAGTCCCCATGCAAATTCAATCATTTGCTGTGCAGTTATTACAGTGATGCTACCAAAATTTACATACACCACAGAGTTTGGTCCTTTTGAATCAAGCCATTCAATGCACTCTGGATGATCTTTCCAAAGATTGGAGCCAATATTTTTCAGATTATCATTTGGAATCTGATCAACAAGCAACTGGAGAGGACCAAGTGTGTAAATTGGAGGAAACATTGGGGATAAAGCATCCAAAACATCTTGTTCGAAGGAGTCAAAGGTGTTGATAATGACAGCAGAAGCTCTTGAGGTTCTGTCTATTTCTCTTATCAGGAAGTGAAGCATGAAGTCGTTTATGTCTGTAGTTCTGACAAAACTTGGAAGATCCCTCAAACGGATATTTTTCATTCCTGGAATCCAATCTATGGATGTTTCTAAGTACCCATTTGTTAGATCGGTCTCGTCTGCAAAAAAAAAAAAAAAAAAGATCAAATGAAGATTAATTTTCATTCTTGGTAAATTATGCAGGCTCTGACCTTCTGAGTCTTGGTAAAGCTGTAACTTCTAATGAAATAAAAAGTAAAGGAAATCTTGATCATAAATTCATGCCCCACATTTTGAATTGTCCGTTTTAAAAAGCTGTGTACCTTTCAGAGGTGTCAAGCCTCTTTCGATAAGAGAACGATATTGTGCGTAGCCCAAAACACCACAGGCGCTAGGTGTCCAGAACAGCGCTTCAGGAATTCCGAATTCTTCAGCTGCGTCGAGAGTGAAGCTCATGCAAGCATCAGAGATAATACATGTCACCTGGGGCACAATACTGGAGGAATTGAGTTTGGCAATAAGATCACGAAATGGGGCTAAGCAAGTCGTGGAGGTGCTGTCACAAAGAGATGGGATGTCTTGAGTGGCATCAGCAATATCTGATGGTGGAAGACCATCAGGAATGGTCTTAAACTCGAAGTCTGGCAAGCCATCAAGAGAGCTGCTGCCTCTAGACTTGAGTAAGCGTTTGTGGTTATACTCTGTATTAACGAAGGTTATGTGAAAACCTTTGAAGTGGAGTAGTTTTGCTAGTTTTAGCATTGGGTTTATGTGACCCTGGGCTGGAAAAGGGATACACACGGCATGGGGTTTATTTGCCAAGTCTATGGACACCATCTCTCCGATCACAGACAAAAAGATTGGATGTTGAGGAAGAAGAGAAAGACCTGTCCATTCTTATAGAAAAAAAACAAGAAGGTGGGCGCCCCGTTTTGGGAAATATTATTAGCCCTTGAAAAAAAAGGCCACGCAAGCCTGGTCCTCCAAAGAAAATCCTAGCCATGCATCTATTTTATTATTATTATTATTATTATCCTCTCGTTTTTTTTTAATAAAAAAGACAACATATCGCTACACAATAAATTATACACCTACATTGCGATACATATTTTCTAATTTAAATTTTAATCTTCTCTCACAATTGAGAAGTCAGGTCTAAATTTTATTACTTCAAAAACTCAAATTTCATTTTTTTTAAATCTAAAAAGCATCTCAAAAAGTCCTAGAATCCTATATAATGAAATTTCCAAGACTAATACATACAATAAAGTTTAAACGTCAAAATAAAATTAATGTCTTAACTCTTTTTTTTTTACATAGACTTAATCACCTTCATTTATCTCCCCTTACTTAATCCATTGAAATAATACTCAATCTTTTTATAGATAAAATATTACTAGTCAAACGATTTCTCTCTCTTTTTTAATATACATGGACCAATATAAAATCCAGAGCCAATTAATGCAACAACCGAAAGTTAAGGGACCAAATATAATTTTTTAAAACCTTTTGAACAATATAAAAAAATGATTTATTTATGTTAAATTGGATAATTGATTTTTCAATTTTTTTTAACAATAATCTAGAATTTTATTTTATAAAATCTATCTTTAATTTACCATTGATATATTTTATGACATATGTCATAAATAATAGCATGCAAATCAAAATACATCTTAACATATAAAACTATTTTAACATAACTTAAAAGAATGAAAATAAAAAAAATATAAAGTTCTTAAAAAATAATTCTAGTACATAAAAAAAATAACAATAACAACAATAATAACATTAATAGTAATGAGTATATAGCTGCGAATAAGTTTATTTTTAATGTATAGTTGTATTTCAAGAGTATAGATAATATTAGCTATTTATTTTTAATCTAAAATTAGTATTTTTTTAATATATATTTACTTTCAAAGAATAAAAGATATCATAATAAAATTAAATTATTTTTCTTTTAAAATAAAGTAATGTATGTTGCTTTTAACCAATAGAATAATTATTTATTCTGATTTTTTATATATAAAATTAAAATAAAATATACTCCATAAATTTAAAAAAAAATACACGAACATGCCAAAAATGTTAATGTTGTGGTAACCCTTTTTTTTTCTTTATTGTTAATTATATTGAAATTTCTTTTTATTGAAGTAATGTGTGTATTTCATTGTCATTATATATATATTCTTTTTATTTTTTTGAATTTCAGAATTATTCTAATAAAAATATTATATGCAAGCATGCACCTGATTATTAAGTAGTAAATTATTTAATACAAATAAGATAATTTGTTAAATATATTTAGTACATTATAGTTTTTATAGGCCATTTTATATCTCAAAAGTTTTGTAATAAAATTTAACCAAACACTATTTAATACTTTAAATATTAATGATAAAAATTATTAGTTATTAAATACTACTTTTAGTCTAGTTATATAATGATACAAAACCATTCTATATGACTTATATTTCTTCAATAATTATTTTATATGATATAAAAATTTTAATGAATAAATAATTATAAATTTGAATTTTAGTATCTATACTTTACCTAACAAAATTTAAAATAAAAATATAAGTGTAAATTAATGATGAGTTTGTACTTGTTTATTTGTTTTTTTTAATGGAAAGTATTAGATAAAGATTAATGTAAAATCATTATCTCTAATTAGGTTATGCCCTAAGATTGATGTCTTCTCCTAAGTGCAGGAGTGTCGAAGTAATAAATAATCTGGCAAGACCGGAGTTGAACCACAAGGAGGTTAATTATATAAATTATAAACAATAATAATACAACAACAATAATATTCATAATAGTAGTAGTAGTACTAATAATAATAATAATAATAATAAAGAAGAAGAAGAAGAGGAAGTTGATAAAAACTTTGAGATGGAAGATCAATATAAGGATTAAAAATGATAACAATAAATATCAAGGTTAGAGGATATATTAACGGTATGTCAAACAAGTATGATATAAACTCTTATTATTCAATTGGAAACACACAAATGAGGTTCCAATCAAATTATAAATTGTTAACATGATTATATTAGTTATCTTATTCGAATAATGCTAATACTTGTAAATGTTGCCAATCATTCATGATTATAACTTATGTTAACAACAAATCAAGTTGCTTTCATAGCTCAGGTGTCGGTTATACCATATAGTATGGGCTATGAAAGTGCCAAGTATTTATTATACCAAGTGTTATACAACATAAATCTAGATTAGTCATTTAATAAGCAAAGTATTAAAGAATGAACAAGATAATAAATATAAAACATATTAGTATCAAATATTAACGTCCATGTTAAGTTAACACTATATTTATTCTTACACCATTAGTCTAACTTTTTCAACTTGACATAATAAACCTAACTAAACATAATAAAATAAAATAAAATAAACAAAATAAGAACATAAATAAGATAAAAGTTAATTAAATAAAACAAAGGAAATGAAAGGCATAAACTTCATATTAATAAAAGTAAAACATAAGCAATACAAAAATACAAAAAGAGAAAGAAAAAACATGATCTTGATCTAGAAACCAAGATGTCTAAATGCATGGCAAACACCTCTTTTTATAGGCCAAAATTGACAACTATTGATTTGATGACTAATTGATAAGGGCCAACTCTTGACTTGGTGACAATCTTTTTCTTCTTTTGTCTACCTAAAACGTTATTGATAACGTCAGAATTGGAACCACTTGAAAACATGAAAGTTCTAGGAAATTATCTCAGTTTTCCAGGAAAAAAAATTAAGGTCATTTGGACTCTTAGAACTCCAGATATGGGCCAAGAACTGAAGAGTATTTGGGCTACATAATAGATTTAGACTTCTTCATTGTTGCTACAATTTGGACTTGAAAATGACATTTTTAAATCTTGGGCTCCTATAAAAGTTGTAGATCTATATCTTACCTTTCCATCCATATAAAGTAGACCTAAATCTGAGACTTGCAACTCCAGATATGACCCAATTACTGAATAGTATTCCGGTTTGGACTGTAGCAACATCTCTTTTCTAAGTTTGGCCATCTCTTTATCCTTTCAATTTCAGTTCTTAAACTCATTAATCAATCCTTTCATTTATGTGATAGGCTTGTATTTAAAATAAATATTTACTACAAATTAAAGATATCTTATATTATTAGATATGTTATTATAAAACATGCTTTAGTTAAGGAGTTATTGATACTTCAAGTGCAAAATGATAATATAAAACCCAAATAAAAATGCCCTTTTAAGTACTAATCACACCCCCAACCAACTTATTACTAGTCCCTTGTAATCAAGCGTTAAAATAGAGAAATAATTTGCAAAATCTACAAAGCAAAGTATTCATCATTCATCTTCCATTAATCTATTCAGATAAACAAACTCTTATTAAATTTATATATCTACTCAATACCTCTTAAACAAGATATTAATAAACCTTTATTTTATGCTCAATATATCAACACATAGTTATGGGGTTTTACTTGGAAGAAAATAAAATTTTTGTTCTAATATTTAAGGTTAACTTTCTTGGATTGAGAATGTTTTTTCTTTTTTTTTAAATATATATACATGTAACTTAAAACACAATGTATCTTTAACCCATATAACAAGATTTCGACTAATGACTCCCAAACTAGTTTGTCTTAAGGCATTAAATGTTGAGATATCCCTATGAGCTTAGTAACTCATATTACAGATACTGATAAGTAGATAATGCAATGTTTGATTCCTTTAAGCTTTTTTCCTCAATCCATGTAATAAGTGTTGTGCCAATAGTTCTCAAGTCAGTTGACTTTAAGGTATTCGGTGTTAAAACACCTCTTCGGGCTTAATTGCTTAGGTTAGGGAGGCTACGAAATCAAACTTATCTACATTTTTATCATCATCATTTTTTTTTATTTTTTTGTTTTATTTTTTTCAAATTATAGACTATCTCTTTTCCTTAGTTGTTATCTTTAATAAAAGAACATAAATAATATAATAATCCAATGTACAACCCACAATCATATGTTAAAGTGTGGTGTGAAAATAAAGGTTTAAGAATACATATAATGAGTATATGAGCATAATTAAATGATAACAATACAACAGTTTGTAAACCTGAATATTTCAAGAAGTATTATAATAGCCCTTGTTAAAAATAGTTACTAAGATACATCTCAAGAACCACTTTAACAAAAAAGCTCATTTACTTTGCATCATAGTAACAACAGTTTTGCACATGTTTTATGAAATAGAAAACACAGTTAGTTAGTTTTTTTTTTTAATACTACCCTCTCCTCCTAACCAAAACGATACATTGTCCTTAATGTCCTAAGATAGAAAAACAGAGTATAGAAGACATCATCTGAAATAACAAACACTGAAAAACCTGAAACACACTTGAACAAATATAAAAAATAACAAAATACAATAATAAAGCCAAAAGACACCAAGATTCATAAATGAATGCTCAAATCCAATCTAAGCTTTCTATGGCTTTCCTTAGTTGACCAATTTATACAACTCATAGTGGGATCAATTACAAGAATGAAGGATTGGAGTTGGTCAATTAATTGTTTAGTTGTAGTAGCAGAGATTATGATTTGTCATGCAGAAGATGTTAGAAATTCATGTTCCACAGCATATAAAAAAAGACAACAACTCATCATAATAACCATTAAAATTTAACAAACCTATAGCTTTATAGTGAATGTGCAGTTGGGTCTAAAAGGTAATATGAAAGATCTCTTCCAATATACCTAGACCACTTGGTAAGGCAAGGAAGGCATTAGCGTGTTTAAATATTACATTTATTCGATTAGACATTATGGAGACCTGTAGTTTCTCTCCAATTATTTTTCCAATGATCTCCCCTTATGCTAAAGTTTTGTGGACAACCC